TATATATATATATATGTTTATAATTAATATAAGAATTTAAAACTTTTTAGTTTATAATATAATTAATTATTAAAAATATTTCTTTAGTTTTAAAATGGTAACACAGATGGCAGCACATGTTAAATTTGATGAATTATGATTAAAGTTACTGCGATTTTTTCCCATATAATGATATTTCGCTAATGACATTATATAAATAGCTGTTGTTAATCATAAAAAATAATGTATTTCTCCTTTTGAATATTCATTCCGTGCACTGGTAATTACACTTAATAAAAACGTATTAACATAGATTTTACATACCGTATCTTACACGACCATATCGAATTATATTCTTCAATATTGAATATCTGTATAATTTATAGAATTTAACTTACTTTTATTTGTTTAAAGATTAAAATGACTTTAACGGAAAAAAATGCCAAATACTTTCATGTAATTAAGAACAAGAATAGAATGTTTTCGAACTACAATGAGAAATTGATGTTTCATCGTAGGAAACGTTTGAAACTAATTACCTTCTCCGTATTACCCTTTTAAACGAATACTTAGTTAAGTTACAGAACGTCTATCGTTAACGCAACGAATTGCCTAACCAAAAGTTAATTAACTCATTTTTCTTTTCGCTAAACGATTATTAGCACTATGAGACGATAGTCAAGACATTTTCCAGTTAAGATTGTATTGGTTTAACTTAGATTTATTTTCATTTATTAGAAAACTTTTATAAAGCTTTATATAAAATAAATAATTTTTCTATATTTTGAATAAATCAGTCATACTTAGAGTTACTTACTTATATATGATTGAATGATATAGAATTCTATAATTCAAACTATGTTCTGCTGTGAAGAATATTGAAAGCGATGGTGGAAGACATAACAGAAAGAAGAAGAAGAAAAATATATGAGATATATTAATAAATAATAAATAATTTGTAAGAAAGAAAAGGAAACTAATGGAAAACACACAAAAATATAAAAGAATGTTATATAGAAAAAATCGTGCAATTCAGACAGATCATAAATATATTAATATAAAGATATATCAGAATATTATAATGTAATTTATATTTGAAAATTAATTAGCAGAAATTTAATCTCATTCCAATTTTACATTAAAAAATTATAATTTTGAATAAGTTTAAAGCGAGTAAAAATTCAAGTAAAATGGTTATTGTTTAATGGATTAAAATTTAATTTAATATTAATTTTAAAAATGTAAATAAACGATTTTATTGGTTATGTTTTCAAAATTGAGAAATAATGAGGAATGGTGAGAGTGGTCCCACATCAACTTTATATGTCTCTACAGTACATTTTCACATACACAATATTATTAAATTTAACATTTGGCTATGTCTATCATATTTTAGAACGGGAAAAATGGTGGAAATGGGGCCATCTCTAAAACATGATTAAAATGCAATTCATTGGACGTAGGTATATCCTCAAAGTTTTAGCCTTGTTATGTTATTTAGAAATGGATAAAATAGCAAAATTTGAAGACATACAAAGCAAGTTAAACAAAAGCGATTGAAACAAGTATGAAGAAATGCTACTTAATAGAAAAATTTATAATGAGGCATCTATCGTTCTACGAGAGGCATCTGGCTGGAAAAAAAGAGAGTACATGGCCACCCTACACGAAGCGTATATATACTTTAATTACTGCAATGGAACTCAAAAATTCTGTACTTGCAGCCCGAACAACATAACCTTGCCAGAAGAATGGCTTGTCAAATGTCACGAAAGATTGCCTGAAAAATTTATGATTGTTGAAATGTCGGCCGTGAAACACTTCTTATCAGTGCCAAAAACTGTGAAGTTAACGCTAACTACTATGTAGAGAACATTTTGAGACCATATTTGGAACGTAAAATTCCAGAACTGTATCCTGGAAAAAAAGCCAAAATGACACTTCACAATCACAAAG